GAAAGACGTAGATAATGTTGAACCAAGAGCGTACATAGAAATAACGCCTAAATATGACTTCGTATGAAGAAGTTATGATTTTTCGAAGTTTCAGCTTAGCAGTAGACAGTCCAAAAGTTCGAATTGAGATCGAACGAGTTTTAGCCGAAACTTTCTAAATGAGAATCGAAGATCTCGTCGTTGGGTAGTGCAACGACAGAAAGAGGGACGAAAACGGACATCAGACGAAGAAGTTATGAATTTCTAACGAAGTTTTTCTGTCCCGGACTACTAAAAATAAATAATAAAAATAAAGTCAAAATTAGCCGACGGAGTCTAAATGAAAGTTGTAGAGTATGGTCTGACCTACGCGTGGATATAAAGAATGTCGAAAACGAAGCTCATATGTGAAAGTTACGCAATTTAGAAGTTTGACGAGTCAAATTACGTCGAGCGTAATTTGAGTACGCACAACGTACTTGGATGAGTGCAAGTTGTCTGACCAATACTCGAGTGCCACTAAGTGACGCATGCAGTGACGTTGAGTACGCCCAACGTAAGGCTTGGTAGGCCCAGCATACTTGGAGTTACGCCCAGCGTAATCCCAGACCCAACACCCTATAAATAGAAACCGAAATCAACCATTTTCCTTTCTTTCTCTCTAGTTTTCGTCTTGATTTGCGTGCCATTTATATCCCAAGCCCCGGTATCATTCCTGAGTCCTGAAGCAAGTTCTAAAGTCCCGAAGATCCCCGAGAAGTGTTATTTCCGAGCCGAATCTCTGCCCGCAAGAAGCCTGGTTTATGTGAAGATCTTCCCGAGTTACGAAGAAACACTACTTCTGCAAGTTGTAGTGTTGTCCGATCATCTTCTGATCAAGTGAGTGTATAGTCACTTTCATCTTACACATAGATATGTAATATTTTATAAAATACGTGCTATTTGTATATATATTATTGTTTATACGTGTGAGTGTGTGGTTACTTTCTTCTAACACATAAACATGAAGTATTTGATTTGAAATATGTGTTATGTGTTTATACATTATTTGTTTGTTTTAAATAAGTGTTGAATAAATGTTTTATACAAATTTAAATCGTATATGTATTTTTATCTACAAAAGTGTTGGGTAAAGCATGGGTAGATAGTTGACGTGTGTTAAAATGAAGAGAGACCTCGATGTTGTTGTTTTTTATTCAGTCATCTAGCGGAGTTTAGATAACAACCACAAATTTTTTTTAGACAGTCCTGTAGAACGCTAGCAGGCTCGCCACCTGTAGGTGTTAATGAACTTGGGTGTTCATTCGTTGTACTTTATCTCATGGTTGCCTTATTTGACATATATTGTTGGGAAACCCCTGAAGCATCTGTTGTCGCCCGGTGAAATATTCTTAGATTAGGTTCATTGAGAAAAAGTGTTTAGGGACGTAAAGTAAGGATAACGGGAATGAGTTATAGGGTTTTTTTGGTTGATGAAATTAATATAATTATTTATTGTGGGTTGAAAACCCTATATGCTCACCAGACTCCTAAGCCTGACTCACTCAGTTTTATTTGTATTACAGGTAGTAGTGTCAGAGCATAAGTTGGATGATTTGTCAGGATATTTTGGATTATAAACATGTTGTTGTAAATAACTGCCGTAAGGTATGTATTGAAATGTTCATGCTTTTTGTCTATTTTTTGGAACATGACATCTTAAGTATTGTAATGTAATGAAAAATGCATTTCTTTAAGAAATGCTTTGGTAAATCTTATTTTTATCATATTTTGTTTTGGGAACAAATTCCGCAATTGTTTTAATCAAAGGATTACTCTGAAATTATTTTAAAAACATAAATTAAACCGGTCTTTTATGGCCGTGATTTTGGGGATGTCTCACATGTGTTATGTGTTATATGTTTATATGTATGTCGGGCGAGCCCCGATGACTGACAAATCTGTATATCGGGCAGGGACCATTATGTGTTTATTTATGTATGTATGGTATGTGGTATATTTTGGGAACTCACTAGGCTTTGTTCATACGGTTTTCAGTTTATGTTTCAAGTACTTCTGGTTCTAAGGGGAAGAGCTATGATGATTGATATTGTGTTGATACAATTTGTTACATGGGTTTTTATGACAATGATATGGTTTACTATTTTATTAATCTAAAAATGAAAATTTTTGGGTTTTATTGGACGTTGCAGTATCCCTATAGGGTGTAGGTCAATTTTTAAGGTTCATTCTCTTTCAATTCTTCTGGATGTATAAGCTTTTCAATCTTATTGAATACAATATGTAGTTGTTTGTACAATTGATCCCAAATTATCCTCCCACATGGATATCTGCCACATAAAAAATTAGTTAACAATTTAATTTCTAAAAAATATTAGTAACGATAGGTAATTTAATTAATCAATAATTATAAAATAGATGAAATTATACATGTTGAATTCATCAAGGTTGGATAACAAAGTGAAATACTCTTTTGTAACAAGTTGTTTAGCCAATCACCCATTGAAACCCTTCTTTAACAGGTATAGAAGACATACACAGACTACATTTTCGCCCGATAACTCATTAAGTGAATTTTTAAACACCTTCGTAACATTGTCTAATTTGACCGAGATATTCGTCGGGACCATAGAAAAGACATGGGAACTGAAGGTGGTGCTGGATGCAGAAGCAAGAAAATAGTCACCAAACCGAAAGTCGATAATGAGACGGAATTATTTCTTCATGAAAGACAAGCTCGTAACCCCACAATCTCAAAAACCATCTCCTTTACATGGCTTTGGGTTCGATGACAACTTCGTGGGAAAAGACGTAATGTAGAAGAAAAAGGATCCCTATCTACATTAGTAATGTCTAACCACCTCCTGAAACATGTATTCCGGAACATAGTCTCACATTCGGGCCTGTTTTCTGAATGCCAACAGGATTTCCCAGCCGATTTTGGGTTTACACGATAATGTAATTGATGCATCAACAATCATGTTGCACAGAACAGATAAAAAAGGTGTTAGCGTTTCGTTCTAAAATGGAAATGACCAATATTCCAGACCAGTTCTTCATGTTCTGAACGCATTCATCGTGTTCTGGAATGGTTCTTCGCATTCGTGAGGCTTCCAGAATGATATTTTAAGATCTAGAACACGACATTTCGATGTAAATCAATAATAACTAAACATCTAAACTACTTTTCAGTTGGTCCTACAACAATAACATCTTTAATTTAAACTCTGAAAGGTTTTCAGTTCATTCTGGAGGTGGTCTACTACATTCAAAACAATAAGTAACAATAGAAAACGAATAACATACCCGTAAAATAATGGGGTTGTAGTGCTCGTCTTCCATGTTGGAGATGGGTGTCGATGTGTGTCAGAGATGGAAGTTGCATGTCGAAATCGAGTCGGAATGTTGTAATCTAGTCGGAACGTCGGAATCATTATGCACCTTTCCGGAATGAAGTTGTCACCTCAAATTATATTCTGGATTTTGAAATTGAAAATCCCGATCCGGAACATATACCGTTCCTACGAAATAGACATTATGGATCTAATGAAATGGGTTGGGCCACTCGAAAAATAATCCGAAATCGTTCCGGAACAACCCATTATGGAATATGTGATTATTTTATTTATATATATATATATATATATATATATATATATATATATATATATATATATATATATATATATATATATATATAATGGTTAGATTACTCAATTTCTCTTCTTTTAATTACTAAAGACAATCTAAATATTTTAATTATACTTAATTGTCTCATAAATATCAATTAAGTATCATGAATTAAAAACCTTTTTAGTTGTAAGGATTTAATTATAAATAACTTTTAAATGGAATTTAAAAAGTTGGAATATTAAAATAGAACTTTAATGAAACGATATATATTTTAGTTACTCCTTTAAATATTCAGTTAAACTTATATAATTAATTTTTGAATATAAGGTTTGAATGTTTTTGATATAATATTTAATATACATATTAGATGATTATATCATTCTTTTATTGACTAAATACAATTTCAATCATATTTAACTAATTCTTATAAATATCAATATAAACAAAATATTCTAATTAGTTGTAGTTAATTAACATGTATTGATATTTTAATAGTTTTAGTATTAGTTCAGAGATTATGAGATTATGTGGTAAATAGTTAAAAGTTAAAAGTTATAATGTTAAATATAAAACCTAAATACTAAATTAACAGAAATTTTCTAAAATTATTTACATAATTAATTGTATAATTGTATTATCCAGCATTCAGACAAGCTAATTTTACCAAACACATGTTATTTTTTGTGTTCCAATTTTCTATATTTTCGTTATCGTTCATTTATAAGCGGGTGTAAAAGAAATAAAGAAGGGGTGTAAAAGACATAATATTTTATTAGGCTATAATAGAATAATCTTGATTAAACTCATTAAAGAATGTAAAGTTGGAGAGTAATTTGAATTTAAATATAGAAGTGACAGCTTAGATGTAATGTATCACCGAAGCATCCCACGTGTAAATATGAAAGAAACAAACAAAAAGCAAAATAACATACACAGTTGCACACCCCAATCCACTCCTCTTTGCTTCTTTCTTCACTGCCATAAATGCATTTCACAGGTACAGATTACAGTAACTCTACATTATTGCATCACTTCACTTGTTAAATCTCCCTCCGCAACCCCATTCTCTCCCTTTCTCTCTCTCTTCGGGAATAACAAAACCCCATCAATAGCTTCAACTTGTTCTACATTTCAAGCTCTTGTCTCTTTCAAAAAAGGTTTAGCTTCAATTTCTCAACATTTTTCACTTCTTATTTCGCCTTTTTCTAGAAACCCTAATTTCGACATGCGTTTCCCGAATTGTTGGTCCTTTTCGGAGTAGATGTAATACTTGTGGGTTACAATGTTGATTTCGCTTCTTTTTCGTTTATAAAGGCCTGTCACTTGACTCATTTCTACGTCTGCTCTGTGGTTGGTCCTGTGGAGCCATTTAGTTTGATAGAGCAACCATGTTTGCATTTTCTCGGAAAGGAAAGAAGCTTGGCAGGTGAGTGTTTTCCATCTAAATCTATACATTTAAACTAATGTATCCATATCAATTTTGTGTATATGGCCATTTGGGTATCTGTTTATTCAATGCATATGTGCGTATAGTAATTATAATGGAGTGTTTGACCAAGTAAATAAATTTTAACGCAAAAACAAAATTGTAATTTCGTCTGAGCCCTAACACAAAAGGTCGATTCTTGATGCTTAATTTGGACATTAGAGGCAATTATTACGTTTCTTGTAGTTTCTGTTTTTCCTTGACTTTTTTTGACTTAATGTAGAAAGAAGACTAAAGACTCAAAGAGAAAGTCAAGAAACAGCTCCCTTAGATTAAATAATTAGATGACCTGCATGATTAAACACTCATTGTTGAAGGTTAACATCATTTGGGATAGTTGACAAGGCAAAATATTGTTCTTTAAGCATTAAGTAAAAAAACAAAACAGTGAAAGTGAAACGCACTCATATATAAGTCCTGCCCCCAACTCCATTAAGTCAAAAAGGAACAAGTAACACCTAAGCTTCACATGGATAGGCATTGTATATGAATGCATATCCATGGAAAATTTAGTTTTTGGAGGTGATTAATTAATTGGATTTTGTTTTTCTTTCTTTTCTGCAGAGTTAAAGTTCAGCTTTCTGACTCTACTCAGGGTACACGTAGTCCTGTTCGGCAACCCAAACGCACAAACAATTCCCATGTAAGAATTATTTACTGTTTGGTATGATGGAATTAGGGAAGGAATGGAATGGAATGGTTCATTCCTTGGAATGATAAAAGTTTGTTTTATCCAATGAAATGGAATGGAAATAGACTGTTCTTGAAGGAATGGAACATCCCTTTCCTTCATTATTCCATTCCACCCAATCAAACAAATTAATCATGCACATTTTGTGTTGTATTTCATCTATCATCTTTGATTTGTTTTGCTTTATATTATATACATATTGTTGGGTGTAAATGTGACAGGGACAGGGTGATAATGTTACAACTGGAATCAATGATTCCGATGATAATAATCAATGTTCATCCATTGCACCTTCGCTAGACACTTCCAATTCCAACAACAATGAAGGATGGAAAAAGCTTTCCACTACTGGAGATAAGCCTACACCTCGCTTCAATGTAACACATTCTCCCAATTCCAATTCCAATTCCAATTTAGGGTTAAGTTCATGAAATGATGAAATAGCAACACACCATTCCATTTAGCTCAATAAACTTTCTAATTTCCTTCCACTCATCCATAATTTGACTGCCACATCAGCATGGTAAAGCAGTTCAAAATTAGAAAGTTTAGTGACCTAAGATAGAAAAAATGGATTAGTTGGTTTCCATTTCATGATCTTAATTTTAAGGCTAATGAATGTTTACCCTTTGCTCTTAAATAGCATGCAGCAGCTGTAATTGGAAAGAAGATGATTATTGTTGGTGGTGAATCTGGAAACGGATTATTAGATGATGTACAGGTAGTATATATATTATCTTTTTCCTTTTTTGTAGAATTTTAGCAATATATAATCACTTGCTAAATCATGAAATGCTTTTTGGAGTCTACATTAATAGATTTTTTGCTTAAAATACACTTGGTGTGTAATACTGAGAGTTGTGTATGGTTTTTCAGGTTCTCAATTTTGAAAATTTTTCATGGACAACAGCTTCATCAAGATTGTACCTTTCACCGTCTAATCTTGCACTCAAGATTCCAGCATGCAAGGGTCATTGTTTGGTATTTATTAACTATTATTCGAATAATAAAAAAAACAAATGCATTGCTATTTCTTGATTTTAATTATAAATTTAATATTGTATTAGGTTCCTTGGGGAAAGAAAGTGCTTTTGATTGGAGGGAGAACTTCTCCACCAAGTGACAGAGTATCAGTGTGGGCTTTTGATTCAGAAACAGAATCTTGGTCACTTATGGAAGCAAAAGGAGACATCCCTGTAATCTTTCTTTCCAAACATTCACATATTACAAGTGCAAAAAGACGTAAATGCCCTTCTCATCCTCATGAACATTCCAGGTTGCACGAAGTGGGCACAGTGTAGTTAGGGCAGGATCTGCTTTAATCTTATTTGGAGGTGAAGATATGAAAAGAAAAAAATTAAACGACTTACATATGTTTGATCTCAAGTCACTCACATGGCTTCCTCTTCATTGCACGTAAGAAGCTTCAATATTATATATAAAATATTAGTATTATTTTTATTTGACTTTTGTTGACTTTTTAGGGGACCTGGGCCTTCTTCAAGATGTAATCATGTTGCAGCTTTGTATGATGATAAATTGCTTCTTGTGTTTGGAGGAACTTCAAAGTCTAAATCTTTGAATGATTTATACTCACTTGACTTTGAAACGGTGTGTATAAAATTTTGTTTGTTCATCTTGATTATCCAAATTTGATTTTATTATTCTTGAAATTTTTTTTTTTTTTTTTTTTTTCTTTTTGTTTCAGATGATGTGGTCAAGAATCAAGATTCGTGGCTTTCATCCATCACCTCGATCTGGTTGTTGTGGAGTGTTATGTGGGACAAAATGGTACATTGCAGGAGGTGGCAGCAGAAAAAAAAGTAATTCTTCTAATTTCTAATTTCTAAATATAAATAAAATCATAATTTATTTCTCTTAATATATTTTTATTGTCATATTTAATAGGGCATGCAGAGATATTAGTGTATGATATCTTGAAGCTAGAGTGGTCTGTTGTTCATTCATCATCTCAACAATCTATCACCACCAACAAGGTAAAATCTTTTTTAATTTTACTTTTAATATTTATGATTATATTATTATATGATTATATTTTAAAAAAGAGAATTGTTCTCTTCACAGGGATTTAGCCTTGTGCTTATACAAAAGAAGGAAACAGAATATCTGGTTGCATTTGGAGGTCTTAAGAAGGAGGCATCAGACCAGGTCAAAAATATGAATCCGAAATGATATTTAGTTATTTACCATGTTGCCCTTTTGGATTTTGTTAAATGTGTTACAGGTTGAGGTATTGATGATGGAAAATCATGAAGTATCCATGAGTAGACGAACAACCCTTGTATCTGAGAAACGTTCTTCTTCTGGACTTGGTTCGGGGGGTAGTTTTGGAAAACAAAATTTAGCTTCTGTAATTGAACATCATGGGTCAGGTAGGAAATCTTTGTCAGAATCTTTATTAGTGGATTCAAATCCTGGCAATGGTAATGTCTCACTCCGGAAAGAACATGATGATGACATGGCATTGAAACTTTCAAGAAATATGGAAGATGAAAGATCCTCATTGGTAACTAACTCCATCTTTTTACTACTAAATGCAAGAAATAAAAAAAAAAAGTTTTTAATTTTTTATATTTGTGTATGTGGTTTCAGCCAATTGGTGAGACTTGTTCACCGGAAACCACAGAGAAAGAACGGAATGAGGATTCCATTCCGTTCCAAGAAACGGATGGAAAGACGGGATTCTTTCCGGCTTCTTCAAGTATATATCAGTTGTATGAAATAAAGATGTCTGCTTTAATGAGAAAGAATGGAATTCTTGAAGGAAAATTAGCAGCTGCTGAAAAGAATCTTTCTTCAGTTGTTAAAAGCAAACAAGAAGCTGAAAAGAGGTTAGTGGACACATTGAAGGATATGGAATTGATGAAAGAGAAGTTGGTTTTAGTGGAAATGGCACAAGAAGAGGCAAACAGCTTATCAAATATTGTTCATTCAGATCATGTAAGGCTTGAACATGATGTGGCTTTTTTAAAAGCAGTTTTGGATGATACACAGAAGGTAATAATTAATAAATATACTAAAATATATGTTGATGTTTCATGGGTTTATTGGATTTTGTCTTGATGTTTTTTTTATGTAGGAATTACATTCGACTAGAGGAGTCCTCTCTGGAGAAAGAGCAAGAGCATTTCAGCTACAGGTATGTTTGTTAGGGTTCATGTTTTTTTTTAGTCTGATTATAATTGATATGAGGTGTGATGAAATTTTTTGGATATTGATTATATGCAGGTTGAAGTATTCCATTTGAAGCAAAGATTGCAATCAATGGAGAATAGAACACCAACGCCTAGAAAACCATTCCATGGATGAATTTATTATTACCTCTCAAATGGTTTTGTAAGATATGATGTGATCCATTATCTGTATATTATTTCCACTTCTCCAAACATAAAATTAAACGACATCTCTTTTGATTTTCTGTTCATATTTTGTTTCATGGCAAAACCAAAAATGTGATTGTAGTTAAATTAAATTGTACAACCTCTTTTATTTAATCATTTTCCGTAACATTTATATATATCAAATGGTTATAAATTACGTTATTGTATAAAACAACCAATGAAACCCTGGGACAAGAGGGTTATAGATGTCATTTCACAAGAGAACAAAGAGTGAAACACATAGCCTTATTACACACCACATACAACAATGATGCCATCAAATTTTGCTGAATCTGGACATCATCAATCTGCATTATCATGTCGATGTATTATGGTTTAGTGATTTATAAAATATAAACAATTGGGAATTGTATACACATGAATTTACCATTTTAAGCTCTCTTCAGTGTTGGAATCCAAGATAAGGTCTTCAAGTTCAGCAATTATAGCATCATAGCAGAACACGTATTGATCCTGTGAAACATAAAATGCTGAGCACTTAATATTATGCTCAAAACAAACATAAAAAATGGAATGTATAAAAGAATTTACAGATCAAAATGAGACATACACATGTTTGAACCATTCGCATCCTTTGTGACCTAAAAGTGGCTATGGTTTTAACAAGATCCAAAGCAGACATGTCACCAATTAAAATTCTTTGAATCGTGTTATGAATTGCACAATATGTTCCAGTTCTACCAATTCCTGCACTGTATATATAACATGTAAAAGTTTTACCTAAACATCTTTAATTCACATATCTTAATAAAAAACAAGATCAATAAACCTGCAATGCACCAAAATCGGGCCTTTGGATGATGGCAAATGACGTAATCTTCTAAAAATGTCTCGAACAGCTGACGTGTCATTTGGAACTCCATGATCAGGCCATTCATGATATTGAATATGAAATACAGGAAGAGGACCACCCTGTCATATATACCAAAAGGGCGTTCACGTCTTTTTCACAGACAAGAGATCAAGAATGTAGGTAACAAATATGATTGGTTTACCTCTTCATAATTCACTACCATATCACGCAACACAAGTGAAGTGTTTTGTTGTGGTTGTTGTTCTAGTAAGAGTGCGTATATTATTGTCAAACAATCTCAAACCATTCTCTGACTGAAAATAGTCTCCACATTTCTCAATCTGAATAGGACATTGAGAGCAGATCATATATATAAAATAAAAGCAATAATGTAGATTTATGTAATTATAATGTTGGTGGAGATGGGGATAAGAGTTTGAATACCTTGTCAGCATCAACAAGGCAAGTGAGCATGACAATAGCTGGACAATGATTTTGGAGTATCATTTCCCAGAAATCTTCAAAGGTTTCAGGAAGAGGGCCTTGAGTGGCTATGAATCTTGATATATTTTCAGATGGATTGACTTCTGCTGTGATAAGACTAGCATTGATGTATCCCATTGGTGATGATGATGATGACATGTCATCAAGAACAATCCTGTGTGAATCGTCTGAAACATAAGGATCTTATTATCTTAGCTGATGTGAAAAAGACAAAAAAGGGGTTTGATTAGCATTAGCATTAGCATACATGGTACAACATCAGGGTAGCGGTTTTTGTGACTATGTATATTAGCCACAGAGCAAATACTATCGACTTCTGACTCTGTCAATACATGGCCCTGTACAAAATTCAAAACACATTTGTAAAAACTTTCTTGTAAAATTACACATATCGTAAATGAATTAAACACCAAAAAACCTTCAAATTGGTGAAGTCTTTTTTGATAATTGATAACTGATGAGTCCGTTTCTCCTTGAAAAACTTGAGAGCTTGAACACAATGATGGAGTTCATCAGGTTTAAGAGGTGGATTTGGTGGAAATCCACTGGACATATCCAAGGTTGAAGAAGATGATGTGGTAGCCATGGCTGATTTACAGTTCAGAATGCAAGAGGAAGTTATGCTGCTTTGAAGGGGTAGCTGAGTGGTCATCCTAGTACATTTTTTTTATAACAAAAAGTAGGTATATTTCCGTCAAATGTCATGGATTATTTAGTCATTTTGTAGGTTGGAAAGAATAATGATAAATATATAATGCAAATGGTATTACATCAAAGCATCTCACTTTATTAATTATAATTTAGTTGGGCTTTTTAAAAGTAAGAAGAACCAATTGGCAATTGTTAAGTCTTTTAAAAGAATAAATGACAGATATATAAACAAGTGCTATGTGGAATGGAATGGTATAGCGTTGATCACCATCTGATGAAATCAGGTAAGGAATGGAATGGTGCATTCCAATGGAATAAGAAACAACTGTTTGGTTTGTCAAACGGAATGGAACAAACTGTCGCCATTTGCGTTTGGTAAAATTATGAAATTTTTTTTTCCCAAAACTTTAGTTCTCTTAGGCGTTTCATCAATCACCTGGTATACACTGTTTAATCTCCCTCTGTTAACTCAACGAGATGATGGTAATGTTTGAGATTGGCGGTGGTGGAGCAGATGAGGGTTTTGGTTGCTGTAAGCAGCAATGGGGGAAAAGGACGATGAAGAAGAGGATGGCGACGACGGAGAAGACGGCTGCTACAGTGTCCAGGATATGCCATTGACAGTTGGGATAGTTTCTGAGTTTGGAGGAGGTGAGATTGAGATAAGACATTTGTCGTAAGTGGTATGTAATTGGGGTTAGATGTATGAACTGGCGATGAAGATGAACTTAAGATCTATGTATTATCTTATCATACACCGTGAATACCTTTAGTCGATATTAAACTATGTTGAATTGATTAAGATGCAAATATGCAATGCAAATTATGCAACATTTTTTCATTGAACTATTATGTTTCTAGAAAACATGTTTGCCATAACCAAGATAATAAAATTACTAAGTTTATCATCGAAAACCAAAACAAAAGTCGGTTTTATATGATTAAAAAAAAGTCTATTGCAATAAAATTACTAAGTTTATTAAAATTTTTGATTTTGACATATGTTGTTATTCTTTTTAACTATGTCATTATATTTATAAATTTTATTGCAATATCAACTATGTAACCATTTCTTTATGTTCTCCGAATAACCAATTTACCAAAATTGCAATAAAGTTATTAAGTTTATCGAAAATTTTGATTATGACATTGTGTTTTTTTCCTCAATTATATCATTACATTTAAGTTTTTTTTAAACGACAAACTATCATACTCTTAATCTAATCCTAAACACCACATATGTCTCTTAATGAGACTTGAACCTATGATCTCTTATTTGAGAGAGTCATTCTTTACCGTGGCCAAAAACCCTTTGATCATTACATTTATGTGATAGATAATCTTTTCACATTTACTTTATTATGTCTAATATCTTCAACTTATACTAATAAACTCAATGACCCAAGATCTTGAACTAGCCAACATCTTGAAATTGTCATCGTATTTCTTGTATTTTTCAAGGGACAAAGATTTATTTAAAAAGACACGAACTAAGCAAAAGGTACATGATCAAAGAGAAGAGACTTTAAGTCCTTCCTAAAACTAGGTTTTTAAGGACTTAACGTTTCTTCTCTATGACCATGCGCCTTTTTGAATACCTCCATGTCTTTTTAAATAGGCATTTGTCCTTGCAATGATTAATGCAAGAAATATGATAACATCCCAAGATGTTGAATTAGTTCAATATTTAAAAAGATACGAACTAAGTCAAAAGGCACATGGTCAAAGAGAAGAGACTTTAAGTCCTTCCTAAAACTAGGTTTTTAAGGACTTAACGTTTCTTCTCTATGACCACGCGCCTTTTTGAATACATCCATGTCTTTTTAAATAGGCATTTGTCCATGCAATGATTAATACAAGAAATATGATGAACGTCCCAAGATGTTGAATTAGTTCAATATCTTGGGCCATTCAATTTATTAGTATAAGTTCAAGATGTTAGACATAATAAAATAAGATGAAATATTACCAATGACATAAATGTAAAGATATAATTGAGAAAAGAAAACACGGTGTTAAAATAAAAAATTTCGATAAACTTAGTGATTTTATTGGAAATTGGTTATCAGGAGAATAGGGAAAACTGATAATTTAGTTGATATTGTGACAAAAATATAATTGCATAATTGAGAAGAAAAAAACATGTGTCAAAATAGAAAATTTCAGTAAACTTTGTGAAACCAAAGGAAAATTTCTACATGTCATGTTGTAATTTGATTTATCCATTTTATTAAGTATGTTCGATAATATAAGATTTTTAATACATTTTTAAATATTTTTATATTTTTAATACATAATATAGTAGTTTCAGGTTCTTTTAATAATTTTAATACTTTTTATTAGAAAAAAAAGAATTATTATTATATTTATTTAATAAAAAATTGATTTGGATTGAGCTGTTAAGAGAGTGAGTTTATGTTTAGTTTGGTTATATATGTGAAAGATACAAAAATTAGTTTTTTAAGAGATAGTTAAGTTAAGTTTGGTTGTGAATGGGGATAGTCTTAGGGTGAAGTTTTTTCGATCGAACTCGAAAGCACATATAAAGAAGAGAAAAAGAAAAAGAAACATTGTTTCTGTCCATTCCAAGAAATTGATTTTCTTTTGAAAGACAAATTAATCTACTCATAATTATTATCAATGTCTCAAATGAGATTTAACCCCATAACCTCTCAATTGAAATTGATTTTCTTTTGGGTATTTAAAGGAAAGTGTGGAGGCTAGGGTTGCCTATCTTCGGCCTTCATCACGCTCAAACTCAGAAACCCTAACCAAAATCCTTCTTGATGCTCTTGTGCTAATTTTAGTGATTTTGTGTGGTTTTGAAGGAACAAGAAGAAGAATTAGTGTTTGGTTCTTCAAGTGATCCCTTTCTCTTTTGGTGTGCATCTTTTGGACTCCTTGTAAGTCCTCAAGCTTCAATCTTTTTGTGTTTTTCTTCATAGATCTAGGTTTTGGAGCATTATTGGTCCTTTAAGAAGTGGTTTGAGTGATATTAAGAGATAAATTTTGCAACTTTATGGTTTCTCTAAGTCCCTTGAATGTCATATCTCATGGATCTGGACTTGTGTTGTAAGATGGGAACCATGCATGGATTTTGGGTCATTTTATTCTATTTTGACATAGTTTGAAGAAGGACATGTATGTCCATAAAGTTTGGATTTTTATGGATCATTAGGAGTCTTAGAAGCCTTCTGGAAAAGATGAACTTCAGACTTAAAGGAACAAATGCTTAATGGATAAGTTCATGCCTTGTAGAACCTAGGGTTTGAGTTTTGGACCTTTTTGGATGGTCCTAATGGGTAAAGTTAAAAACTTTATCCTTCTAGGTCGTGTTTTGAGTTAGATATGAGTTTTGAAGCTAGTGAGGTTGAAGAAAACAACTTAACTAATTAAGCTGTTTGGAACCCAGTTACCACGACGTAGCGTCGAGTTGCCACATCGTGGCGATTGGGGTCAGATTGTCTTTTTATCTTTTAGGGGCCACGGCGTGGCTGAGGATGGCCACTACGTGGTGAGTCAATGTTGACTGTTGACTTTGATTTTTGACTTGCATTGACTTTTGGTCAAGCCCCTAGTCTTGGAATAGAAGCTAAGGATGTACTTTATATGGTTGTATAGGTGGTTGGTAGCATATGTGTTCGCAAGTAGTAGCAGTTTCAGTTGATCATCGTTTGATA